ACTGCTTTTACATCTTCTAGAAGGGGACATGAGGACACTGGGGCGAGGGGGTGCGTGGATAGGGAGTCGTGGTTCTGTTTTCTTGACTTGTATATGTTTAAAGTTGTGCATAACAAAGTTTTAAGAACAGTGTGACCAGTGACAATTAAGTGAAAAACAGGAAAAGGATATTTGAGTGGGAATTGATTTCCCATGGCCCTTCCACCGTAAGTTTCCTCCCTACAAATAAACCTGTTTTCAGGAAAAGAGCAAACGAAGCCAAAAAACTATAATTTGCCTCCGTGAGAGTAGTGCTAACACTTGTGGGGCAGGTATTGGTTGTTAGATATCAACCGCACAAATTAAACTGTAAAAAAATTGCTCAAGACCACATCTCTTCGAGACATAGTCAATATTCCAAACCCATGGCTCCTGAGCAGGTCCCAACTTCATCCTTCTGCTGCGGCAGAGCCGTCAGTCTGCAAACACCAATTCCAAACCACAAATTAGCGCTGGATGAAGATACATATGATTGCCTCTTTGCTCACCTCTCCAGCCCTTCTCTGTTCCTACTTTGATCCTGATCTTAAACCCTAAATTCAAGTTTTTACCGATTAGCTTCCTGGTGAGCAGCCAGTTTCCATGAAAGCAGCTGAAGGGCAAGAAGGAAGGGAATGGCGGGGAGAGCTGGCGTAGCTGTAGGATCCTTCCCAAACCTCATCTCCTGGCTCATCAAGATAAGAGGTCTAAAGTACCAAGAGGCCGGGCCTCTTTTCCCCATCTAAACCCTTCCAATCTATCCGCATTCACTCACACTCTTCCTTCCCACTGCTCCCAGAGGGCCTATTCAGTCCCTCCTCCTGTGGCCTTGAGCCATCTTTTTTCACTTGAGTCCTGCTTTGTCAAATCTCTGTCTTTGTTCTTCTTCCTCCATGTATTTCTACACTTAGCAATAAAACAATTAAGCTCATTTCATTAAAAAAAAAAAAGTGTACTCTTGGGTGTTCCTCCCTTTGGCTGCCTGAAAAAGGTCTTTTCTCTGTTTCCTCATTTCCTATCCCACCACAATCCTTTGCAATCTGGCTTATAATGCATCTCCTGAAACAGCCACGTTGATATTGTGAGGTCCAATGGACACTGCAGTCCTTGTTGTTAAGGCCTGTTGGCTTATTTGCCACTACGGCCATTCATTTATCGCATTCCTGCCCCCTTGAACTCACTGGCATTGCACTCTGGCAGCTCGTCCCCTCAGCTTTTTTGCTAGATCTCTCTCCTTTGCCAACCCATAAATGCTGGGATTTCCCCTCTTAACTTTGACTCACTGCTGTTCTCTCCTTGCACGCTGCCTGCACAATCTCATTTTGGCCAAAGTATACTGACTCTGGTCCCTTTCCCAATTGTATACACTCCTACAGCTTGCAGGTTACTGAGTGTACACCCTAAAGAGAATCCAGAGTCACAACAAATGCAAATATATGCCTAAAAATCATGCACGAAATATCCCCTTCTTTTCCTTACCCATTTTATCTGCCATCCCCACTCTACCCACCCATTACACACACACACACAGACCTTTGTCTCCTCTGAAATTGCTGATACCAGTTTCTAACACCACCATCCACTGAGTAAGTCAAGCCAGAAATAGAGAAGTAATTAGAGGAGACTCCTTTTCTCTCATTTCCTCTCTTCCACCAATTACCAAATCATACTGATTAAATCTCTTTCAGCGTTTTCAAATCTGTCTCCTCCCCTCCATACTTACTACCACTGCCCTGATTCATGTCCTCAGAGTCCCAGTTTAAGGGCCCTAGTAGATGTCCTCAGTCTCCTATTTCTGTGATCCAGCCCATGTCCATAAGTTCATCTCCACCCTGCAGCTATAATCACCTATTAAGACCCCAAGTATGACAGTGCTCCATTCTGGCAATCTCCAAGCCCTCCTGGCTTAAGCTTAAAGTTCAAGCTTAACAAATATCCTGGCATGAGCATCAAATCCAGTGGGTCCTGTCTACTCTGAGAGTCGCCTGCCATTCCCCTATTTTGAGCTTCTCTATCCCACAGCTCCATATTATTCACCAAGTTTACATGCATCACAGGCCTCCTCTGCTCCATCTCCTCTGCCTAGAATGCCTTTGACCTCATTAAAACCTATTCATCCTTCAAGCTGCCCTCAAGAGCACTTCCTCCAAGAAGCCTACCCTGAGCCCCATGGTAAAGTACCTTATGAGTTCCCATGGCTCCTGAGTATATTTCAACCTAACACTCGGTGCAGAGAGGTGCCCGTAACTCTCTCCACCTAACCAGACCCTAAGTCCACCAAGGTCCCAGACAGTATGCTTATGTATTCAACCTTCATTTATTCATTCCACTAACATTTAAGTATCCCTGAGTACCAAGTGCTGTCGTGTTTCAGGCATGGATATCTTATATTTCCTACGTACATTACTTAAGCAAAGGGTGTGTTTTTCACCTCTACATTTCTAAAACTTAGCACAGTGTTTGCCACTAAGAAAATGCACATAAACGTTTGTTAAGCTGACCTGAACTAGCCAGCAGGAAGGCAAAGCAGATCACGTTTGTATGTTTGGAACAGGATGCTGGCTGCTGAGCCAGTGGAGTCATAGAAATGGTACAGTGTTCTGGGTCAGTGACAAGGATTCAGGCTCCAACACTGCTGTCGCGTGGCAGACTCTCTAATTTAGGACCTTGCTTTCTTATATTTGAAGTCAGAATTACTAAGACAATGCTAACTTCTGGTGTTACAGGGTAAGAATCTACAGAGACAGAGAACCAAACTTAGATGGGAAATTATTCAGCCTTAAGAAAACACAAAGGCACACTGAAAGCAGCAGAGGCCCAACACCAAAGTGGGGGTGGAGATGGAGGCTGCAGGAGGTGGGACATAGGAGGGCCCAGCTTTCAAGGCCTCAGGGCGGAGTGCTAAGCAGGAGATGATGCCACAATTGAAATGTGGCTCCTTCCTCCTATCTCTGCATGCCAGGGCACCAGTTATCAATCTCCTCCCCTTCTTAGTAATAAAAGCATCACCACTTGCCATCAGGGTCCACAGCTGTGGGCAGAAGGTGGCTTCAGCATTCTCCCCCTATGCTGAATATAAAATAAGCTCTTTCTTTTTTTAAATTTTATTTAAAAGGAAAAAGAGAAAAAACAAAAACAAAACAAAGCAGTGTAAGGGTACAAGTAATACAGAACTACAAAAAAAAACAGTAAGAAATCATCAGTTAATAGATTACATATTATCATCTTAGAGATAGTTGCTCAAGTCACAGTATCAAAGCATACAAAGTGGACACTCAAACAGTGAGACTAAAATAAGCTCTCTCTAATCCTCCATTTTTAATGACTCCAGGCAAAGGCTTTCACATCCTCCATTCCTGCTGCCTTCTAACCCATCACCCAGATCAGGCAGAAAGAAGGGCTACTCCACAGCTACCCAGCCGTGAATGGCACTTAGCCATACCAACAGGAAACAATACGGCACAGACTGGCACCCTGGGATAGTTCCCCCACAGGAACCTGGTCTTAAATCCGCAAAGCCCTCTGGGAAATGAGGACTCTCAGCGAGGCACCTTGCCTTCAGGCATGTGGCGGGTACACATTAACGTCTGCACTGGGGGCGGGAGGAGGGACGAGGGCTGTGTGGGCATGCTCTGATGCACAGATGCTGAACAAATTCTCCCTCACACTTTTCCTGACAGGCAACACCCTGGTAGGAATCAACCTTAAGCCACTCAGCTTTCCCAAGACACCCTCATCCTGGGACCTTCTATTGAAGGGCTCAAAAGCCTCTCGAAATTGCACACAGAGAGCACTGACGAAAGTCCTGATGAGAATGATGATATTTTAGGGTAGTGCAAAATGTCCTACTACACGAGTAACAGAGGAAAGCTAAGCAGTGTTTCTAGCATCTCTAGAGATGCAGGTGTCTCTAGAAAGAGGAAATGAGAAAGCACAAAACAGAAAGCCTGGAATAGGATTAATCCAGAAAATGCCCTAAGCCCTGAAGTTACTACACATAATACAACTTCTATTTTTATAGCACAATCACAACTTACAAAATTCTTTCATGTCTCTAGCTCAACTTGAGCCTCCTTGAGTCTTTATGGCCACTATGTCCTGGGAAGTTAGAGGATTATATGGCATAATTTAGGGAAAGAGTCGAGCAAAATTCCTCAAGCTGGATTGTGAGAAGCTAGCATTATATTACTTCTTTAGCTAAACTTTACAAAAACCTTTGAAATAAGTGGAGCACTTATTAGTGCTCCCATTTCCCAGAGTAGCAAAATGAAGGTGCTCTGTGACCCCATGCAAAGGGCCCTGGGTAATTCAGTTAATGGTCAAGAAGTCTTGAACTCAGGACCTCCAGCGCTATCCATCACTCTATATCTTTGCGTGTTCAACTGTTGCAGCTGCTGCTGTTCCATCACTGAGAGCCACATTAGTAGGGGTTGTCATAATGCAAGCATAATGGGTTTTGCTCATCCATCCATCCATCCATCCACCCTCTCACTTGTCCCCTGAGGGTACCTAGAATTTGTAGCATGGCTAATGTGGCTAAAAAACCATGTTCTCCGGGTCGGAGCTCACTGACTGATGGGAGAAAGATCTTAGTTTCATTAGCAGATTTAATTTAACTCAACAAAGGGTATGAGTGAATTTTTAGATTTCTTTGTGTGTTAGAAACTGTGTGAAATTTTGCTAAAGAAAAGATTTGATACCCAGGAGCAGCTTCCTTGACCTGGTCACAGTAAGACATGGACAGTGTTATACACACCCTCTACCCACTCCCAGTGGCCTTCCACCCATAACACCAGCTTCTTCCAGAAAACCTATTCTACTGACGAGTAGGAGAAAACAGCTAATAAAAGCTAGATTATTGACTGCTTACGGACCTATCATTCCCAAGAGGACAGCAACAGCCATCCTCAGCACAATACTACACGGGATGTTCAGTGTTTAACTTTTGCCAAGCAGTATTAAAATCTCATGAACACAGTTACCTCACTCCTACTTTCCAGCACCTCCTCCAACCTTCAAGAACACCCTAGTTTTCCAAATCTGTAGGAACAAGAGATCCAAAATCACCCGAAGGTGTAGAATAGGGTTAAACTTTTCTTCATTGTGTCAGTAGACAGCCTGCATCCCAAGGCAAGGACCTACAAGGTTTTCAATATGTGGTCAAACAGTGATTGATACTAAGTAGCTCTAACACAAAAGGAAGAGCCATCCTCCTCCTTCACACTCCAAGGGACTCACCATCTAGACATGCCAAGGACTCGCCATCCTGTAGATCCTGTGTCCTCAGCTTGCTGCTTAGAAATCAGTGACCTCCAGTACACCCTAATCTCCCTCCAACTTGTTTTGAGTCTGCTGCATCAGAATGTGTCATGAATGTTTGTCTCTGGCAGTGCTGGAGACCTACATGCTGTCTGGAACAAAAACAGATGCCGTGTGCCACCAGACTGCTGTGCCGGTGACCCATTCACAAACGGTGAGACAAGACATGAATGAGACTAAGAATAAAGAAATTGTGCGATGTCCAGACATCAACCCATAATGTGTCAGAGCCCCCTAAGGGATCTGAGCCTAGAAACAGGATCCCCTTGAACCAGAAAGCAAGTCTCGGAGGAACTGAGGAGTTGGGGTCCAGGGTGATAAAAACAACGATGAAGTTTCCAGCTTAGTACCTACGGCTAGAAGGATGGGTACCTCCCTGCACCTTGCTTTGGACAAAGCTGTCAAGCTTCCCCTGCTCTGGGGAGTTCTACCAGAGGAGGAGTGGGGTTTATGACAGGAGAACAGTCCCTTTCTGCCTCAAGGTATCCTGCAGCTCCCAGCAAGACTCAAGGCTCGACTGGCTGACCTAGGCACCCACCAAGCAGGCTCCACCAAGCAGGCCTGCTGGAAGCGGCTGCTCTCCCTTACCTGTCTGGTGGTGGGCAGTACAGCTGGGAAGAGGTGGCTGTTGTGGACCCCAGCTGGGCATGGCTCGGAGAGGCCCCGAGCGACAGAGCCAGCCACCTTGTAGTGCATGGGACAGGGTGGTGGTTGGAGGCGCCCCTCAGCACAGCCCCCTAGAAGAGCGGCTGTACCATGCTGCTCCTGCTGACTCTGCTCGGCACCAGGCTTTGCATCTCATGAAAAAGGAAAGAGCAAGCAGGCAGCGGGGAGGGGGCGGGGAGGCGGAGGGAGGGGAGGGGACCCTCTGACAGATGATGCGCACTGCCGCACAGTCAGTGGGGGAGGACAGCGGGCTCCAGCAGGATGGCACTGCCTGTGTGGCTCTCCTGCTGGCAGCTTATTCATCGCAGCTGCTTCCAAGGGGCTGGTGGCTCTCTGGAATTTAGGGAGAAGCAGAGCACAAAGGGGTGACAGAATGTATAGGTGAGACAGGAGGTCACTGGCAAGGTGACTGACAAGGAGGAACAAAGAATGACCTGCTTTTACTCAAAATCAGACCAGAGCGGAAGCATTCACCTTATGAGATGGGGAAAGGGAGCAGACAAAGCCCACATCCTTGACCTGGCTTCAGGGTTGTCTCTCACCTTTTACAACCTGCAAAGCCTCTTTGGCCTAGGGTGTGGAATGGCTAGGCAACTTATATCAAGTGAAATGTCAACTTTCTCAAAGAGGAGAAAAAAATTAGGCACGAATGAGTATCATGCAGGAAATGCTCAGTGTCACTTGTCGCCTCTGCTAAAGCTGCCTGCCCAACCTCTGACTTAGGGGTTGTGGTGGCAAGAAAAGTGAGAGAGATCAGGAGGAGATGGAGAGAGCATGCCATGTGACACTTCTGTCTGAAGTTCCTCTTGGATGGTCAGGGGGGAAATCTTCTGGACAGCTTGGGCCAGTGCCCAGAGTCACTCCTGACCACTCGCAGTAACCCTTTGCGTAGATCCTAGAGTCACTGTGCACAGGCCTGGGCTGACTGTCCCCAGCTCCGCTGGCAACCACAGCCACAGCAAGGCTGCCAGGGAAATAAACAAACAGTGCAAGCCAGAGCAGACCAAAGATGCCGCAGCTGGGGAACTCTCCACCACCACAGCTGAGGAGGGAAACGAAATCTTTGCTAGGGAGGGAGGAGAAAGCAAGCAGGGGACCAAAACCAAGACAGATTCCTAAGACATAATCCTTCTCCCCTGCAAGCTGGTGTTCATCATCCAGACATCCTGAGGAGCACTGACCCAGGAGATGACCTCTTGGGGAGGACCCTCTCGGTGGACCCTGCCTCTGTACACATTCATATCCCTGTTTCTCTGTTGCCTAAAACACTGCAGCAATGCAATAAATTCAGGTCAACTCAGCAAGCAACTCTTGGGGACCTACTACGTGCTTGAAAACGCAGAGATGACAAAGGCAATCTTGTCATGCCAGATGGTACAGAGGAGGGGGAGATTCAAATCAGTGGCTCTAATGCATGAATGAGTGAGCTCAATTGGCAAAAAGCAGCACGGAATTTCAGGGTGGGGGTGGAGGAGAAGAGACTCGGCCCCAGCTGGGAAGTCAGAGAGGCCCTCTAGGGGAAGGCACCATCTGACCCACATGCTGGCCATTATGGGAGGATTTTGACAAGAAGAGCAGATTGGGATGTCGAATTAAAGGCTGAAGACCAGCTTGGGGAAAGGGCAGCATTTAGAGGGGCCTGCTATGCTTAGAGAACTGTGAGTGTTCTGTTTAGGGGGGCAGGAGCAGAAACTCAAGTGAGACATGAGGCCACAGTGGAGGCCTCAGTTGTTGGTCAAATTAAGTTCATTCTCAGATCTACATTTTGTGTATGTGTGTTTTTGAGACAGGGTCTCTCTATGCAGTTCAGGCTGGTGTTGAGCTCAACCTTGTAGCCTAGGCTGGTCTCAAACTTGCAATGATCCTCCTGCCTCAGCCTCCCGAGTGTTGGGATTACAGGCATGAGCCACCACACCCTGCTCAGATCTACATTTTGAGAAGACACTGAGAATTCAAGAAGTGGAGGAAAGCGAAGACAACCAAAGTTTATTACAAATTCCTATGTAAGAAAGCATAAGCACCACATAAGATCAGAGATGAGAAGAAAGGACAAAATATAGAGATTGGGAAGACTGAATCAGAAGGCTGAGGTGAGTTCAGAATGTGAGCATTAGGGAAGGCTTTATAATTTGTCTTTTAAGATCTACTTTTAGGGGTTAAGAGACCTAGCAGTAACAGGAGCTTTGAGCTGGTAATAGAAACCCTGTGATGTGTTTGCTTTGAGATTGGTTGAACTCTGTTGCTATCCCAGGGCAGAAGATGGAGAGAAGACAGAAATACATCACTGGATGGAGCATTGTACCTAAAAATAAGAGATGATAGAAATAGATGAAATCACTCAAGGATACAAGAAAAGAGGGGGCTGAGAACAGAACCATGAGTGACAACATTTAAAGGATGTAGAGAAGGAAAAGCCAAGCAAAATAGCTGAGAAAAAAAAAAACTTACCAGGTGGAAAGTAGGAGAAACAGCATGAAGTATTATAGAAGCCAGGAAAGATGAGCTTGAAAAATAGTCAAGCACTGCAGAAAAATCATGTGGGTGAGAAACAAGGTGAAGATGGCCAACCTTTAATTTCAGCATTGAGAACCTGGCTTAGAGTGATGGGTCTCAAACATCAGAAGAATGGGGATCCTTTATGGCACTTGTTAAAACGTGAATCAAGAGCCAGGCATGGTGGTGTACAGCTTTAATCTCAGCACACCGGTGACTGAGGCGGGAGGATTGCAATTTGAGCTCAGCCTAGGCAATTTAGCATCTTAGTGAGACCTAATCTCAAAATAAAGAATAAAAAAGAAGGTAGTTCATTGTGATGGCCTTGAGTTCAGTCCCCAGTGTCTCTCTCTCTCTCTCTCTCTCTCTCTCTCTCTCAAACACACACACACACACACACACACACACACTGCAAGAGCCCAGACACCGGAGTTTCCAATCCCACAGATCTAGAATGAGGTCTTAGATTTGCATTTCTAATGGATTCTCAAGGATGCTGAAGTTACTGGTCTGAGGACCATACTTGATGACAAGGGTTAGACTGCTACACCTTGGGTTTTTACACCATGGCTCAGGTAGAAAATAATCTTGTGTGCGACCCTAGATTAAAGGGAGGTAGGCCCCTGCCAGGTTGCCCAAAGTCCAATGAGAGAAATATCTCCGCATACAAAGAATAGATTAAACAAAAGGGTTGGGGTGGTTTGACATAGAGGAATGAAAGAAAAAGTGACAAATAGTAAAATGTGAGTGGATGACTATGCTGTCATAGTAACAAAAATGGATTTTGCTTTCAAGAACAGGAACTCTCATCCACCTTTGTATCTTCAGCACCAAGTAAGTATCTAGTATGCGAGGACGATATTTTAGAACAAAATGAATTGAAAAGTTAAGGCTGAGAAAGAAAAAGGGGCTTCACTTTAAAGCAGAATTAGAGCGAAGTTATTTTTGAAGAATCAGGCAAAAGAAATTACTGTCTGCAGCACCAACTGAACCAACACACACACAAAATACAGAAGTAAGAAAGAAAGAAACCCAACCTGAGAAAGCAGAAACCTTACCTGTCCCTAGGCAAGAAATCCCAGCATCATTCCCTGGTGAGAAGGGATTGGAAGAGCAGGCCAACATGGTCTGCAAGACCTTTCTGTAGGTGTTTTCTAAACTGTTTATACACTGTCTTCTGTAGATGGATGGTTTGGTGTCCCTTCTATTGTTGTGCAAATTCCTCTATTAACTCACTTAGCAGTTTTCAGTTAGAACATTTCATCTTTACTTAGGATGGGAAATGAGTAATAAGGGAAAATGAAAGACTGTATATGCAACAAAACTGTACTAATATCTTGTCTTGTTGTTTTCTTTTAATTGAAGTGAATCCTCCCATCTAATGGTGAGCTATTTGAGGAGAGACATGTGTTTTTATTCCCGTGTTCTCTGAAGTCCCTGTCATATAAGGGTCTCTCCCAGAAAATAAAGCACCTATGTTTTTAAGGAAGAAACAAAAGAATGAGGAGTAAAAGACATGGGAAAGAAGAAAAGGAGAGGCAAGGTATGGGAAGGCAGGCCAGGAAGAACACAGCTAGATTCTGGTCAGCAGAGCAATAGCCCCCTAAGACATCCACACGCTAACCTCTGGAGCCTGTACATGTGTTGCCTTGCATGACAGAAGGGACTCTGCAGTTTTTAAAAGACTTTGGGATGAGAAGGTTATCCTGGTTTTTCCAGGGAAACTCATTCTAACAATATTCATCCTTCAAAGTGGAAAAGAAATACAAAAGAAAGGGTTAAACAGAGGAAGGAGTAGAAGCAAGAGAGAGACTTGACTCATGTTTGCTGGCTTTGAAATGTTGAAAATAGTCAAGCACTGAGGAACACAGATGCTGCTAGAAGCTGGAATCTTAACTGACATTCATCAAGGATGTAGAACCTCAGTCCTGCAATCACAAGGGCTTGAAAACAGCCCAACAACCCAAGTGAGCAAGGAAACAGACCCTTCCCTGGAGCCATTAGAAAGGAACAGAGTAGTCACTATTTAATTTTAGCCCAGTGCTACCCCTGTCAGACTTCCAAAATACAGAACTGTAGATAGTAAATGTGTGTCATTTAAGTCACTCTGTGTCCAGTAACTTGTCATGGTAACAATGGAAAACACAACAGAATGGCTGATGTTGGTGGAATTAAGGACATTAAAAACAAAAAGTATTAATAAACAAGGTAGAAATATAGAAGACTATTGAGAACCAAAATCAGAAATTATATGGGTTCTTCCTTTCAGTGAAATGCAAGGTTTAAATATCTTCCTAAGAGTAAAATACACACACACACACACAAACACACGCATGCATGCATACAGGCACATGTGCACAAGTGAATTTTGAGTCTTAAATAATTAGCTGGGCTCCCTTCCTTTCCCGAGCAGATCTTACTTTCAGAAACAATGGTTTTTATCTCTCTGACTGATGAGTCACTATTTTTTGCTCTCTTGTACAATACTGTCTGTCATGGGGAACACATTAGTGCTTAAGATTTCAGAGAAAAAAAGTAGAGAAAGAGCCACCTCTCCTCACAAGAAAGCCTCTGGCAGTGAAGAAGCAGAGCCTGCTGGATGCAGGAAAGAAAGTAAACAAACAACAGAAACATAGCCAAAATTACCCTGTCCTAGAG